GGGCTTTGTTGCTTCTGAGCTAGATGGCCGCTTGTTTACCTTCAAGCCTTTGAGACCCAAGATGCTATATCTTTTGATAGCTGGGCACCATCAGTTTTCTTCACCACATTTGCTTATGCACCCGTTTGTCTTCAGTGATCATGTCGGGAAAGTGAGCATCATGGAATTCCAATTTAATAGAACAAAGTGTTCTTGCATTGAGGGAGTATTTGAGTGGAGGCCCAATGTCCGTCAGCTACCTTAATACTAAACCTATAAATATATGCACATAGATCTATTTCCCCATCATCATCATATATAAATATGTTTACATATGTACAGGCCTGTATTTAGACCTCTATAAATGCCCTTTGCCTCCTAGTTCTTTCCTCTGTTTCCTTTTACTTTCCTCCTGTCCCATTATCATGCTCGGCCTTCATTTGGGTTTGAGTAACTCCTCTCGGTTACATTGCTCTTGATCAGGGGTCCTCAAACTTTTAAACAGGGGACCAGTTCACTGTCCTTCAGACCAGTTGGAGGGCCAGACTATAGTTTAAAAAAAACTATGAACAAATTCTCATGCACACTGCACATATCTTATTTTGAAGCAAAAAAAGAAAAGGGGAAAAACACCCGGTGGGCCAGATAAATGTCCTTGGCACCCGGGGCCGCATGTGGCCCACGGGTTGTAGTTTGAGGACCCCTGTCCTTGCTCAATCCCTTCCAGGCCTTTTACACCCTCCTTGCCACTGATTTTTGGATCACTTGTTCCCTTGTTCCTGGGTTTGGTAACACCACTTCCTTCCTCCTATCTCTCCCTCTCCCATTTCCTCCCCCCCCACCCCAAACCATCGGTCCTTTTGTTTTCTCCTCCAGATTGTTTATCCCTCCTATCTTATCTAGATAGACCTGCAGAGATAATATGCACAAAAACAAGACAACAAAACAAAACAATGACACAAAAAAAGAAGCCTGTAAATAGTTCAAGGTCTGTTTGTTGAGCGTTAGGAGTGTTTTCCGGTTGAGTCTGATGGAGTGCCACGCCCCAGCTCCAAAGTCTATTTTTGGTACTCCCTCTAGACTTCCTTGCTCTGCTCCCCTTGCAGTTCTGTTGCATGCCCTTAGTGCTTTTCTCAGTGTGGTGGTGTCACATTGGGTGCAATTCCCACACTGTCTCCAGTGTTGTCCCCTGTAGGGCTGTGGATCAGTGAGGGATGTTGTGTCTCATAGTGGGGCCAGCCATGGTCCTCTGTGCATTGGCTGCTCTGAGCAGGGATATCGTCCTCAAGGCTTGGTGGGCCAGCATGTGCTCCTCTCTATCTTCCTCCTCCACCTTTTGCTCCCATGTGCTCTGATCAAACATGCCCCTCTCCTTGAGCTGTAACTTCAGTGCTGTCCTCTGAAGTAAATTCCTCTGGGGGGAGAGGTGGGGCCAGGCCCCTCAGACCTCTACTGGTTCTCTGCTTCATACTGGTATGTTGCGTTGACATCTTGGAGCACCGGGGAATTTCACTTTTACAGGTAACTGTGTAACATCCGGCAAGTGCTTTCTCTGGGCTTCAGGTGTCTCTTCTGTAAAGTGGAGATAGAGGTCATTGGTTGGTAGTGAGGATCCCCTGAGTTACATTGTATAGCACTTAGAATCAGCCTTGAAGAAGCATCTGCTGTTAGCTTCTGCTACAGTGATGATGCTTGGTGGTTGGTGGTGAGGAGAGGTTGAGTTTAATGTGTTTATAATATTGTGTAAGTAGATTATATTGCTCACGATAACTTTTTTCATTTGAAGATGAAGTGGCTGTGATTGATGAAATTCAAATGATTAAAGATCCAGCGAGAGGATGGGCCTGGACCAGAGCACTTCTAGGTTAGTGTTCTTAACACAGACCTCTGGGTTTTCAGAAAGATGTTTTTCTGTGTGACCTGGCCAATAAAGTTGGCTAGATCTCTCTTTGTTATACAAATCAAACCCCCGAAACCTTGACTGCCAATGTGTGAGTTGTGTTCTCTGAATATTAAAAAAAAAACTCACTGCCATTCTGACGCACGGCAACCCCATTGGACAGGGTGGAACTGCCCTGTGGGTGTCCAAGGCGGCAATTCTTTTTTTTTTTTTTAAAGGCGGCAATTCTTTATGGAAATAGAAAGCTTCATCTTTCCCCTGGTGTTTTCGAACTTCTAACCTTGCAGTTAGTTAGCATCTCAACTCATAATCACTGCACCAGCAGGGCTCCCTAACTATTATTTTAGTAATAGGAAATTCTTGTTTCTATTAAACATAGCATAACCTTATATTAAAATGGGAGTTTCCAAATCTTAATTACATTTACACAATCACTGGTAGCATTTACCCTGTGTCAAGCCAGTTTTTGGTTGTGCTGAAGGTGCTATGTGAACACAGCCCTTTTGTACCTGGTTTGCTTTCTTTTCAATTCTGGGGTTTCACAGACATTTTGTAGTCATTTTAAAATGTGATTGGAATTTTTTCCATTGAAGAGCGGTAACCGTCATTTGTTAACATACTGATGAACATTACCCCCATTAATCATGCTGCAAGAAACGTCTTTGTGGCCATCGCATTTTGGTTTTTATTTATTTACTCCTTGTATTATTTCTTTAGGCTAGGCTGGAGGTGGTGTTCATGAGATCCACGGGCAGAATGAACGCTTTTCCTGCTTGATACTGGAGTGAATCTTTGATCAGCTCATTGTAGGGCAGGTGTTTTCAATGTGAAAGCAAATATCTGCACGTTTTCTTCAGAGTATACATTGAAGCCTGTTAATAAAATAGGTGAAACTGGATCTGCCCAGGGGTAAGGAGCTTGGAGTTTCTTCCACCCTCCATCCCCACACCCCTGAGAGGCCTCAGTGACTCCATGGGGCCCAATTTGAAACCATAAGTTGTAGGTTCAGTGCTCAGTACCAAGCGTTGCAATCCTGGTTCTGATCCTGCCTGTCTTCACCTTCGTGTGGACTCGATACCCTGCCCCAGATAATGTTAAACCCCGAGATCTATAAAAGTACAGAAAATTGTTCTGAAGTTTGAACCAGAGAGATAGTATTTGTGAAAACACTTGATAAAGTGGTAGCAGCAATTGGTAATCAAATGTAAAGTGTTTTTGCTTTGTTAAGTGTTGTGTATTTAATTTTGATGTCTCTAAAACTCCAACTGATTCAAACAGTGATTTTGGATTTATAGGACTCTGTGCCGAAGAGCTCCATTTGTGTGGGGAATCTGCTGCTATTGACCTGGTGACTGAGCTCCTGTACACAACTGGAGAGGAAGTGGAGGTACTACATTATAGGCTTTGTTCTCATGGTGGTTCTCAAGTAGCTCAGAGGACCTAGCCTTTGAAGGCTCTACAGATGGTAAAAGCTAATTAAAAACAGAGTGTTATTTTCTTGTGGTTGAGGTCACAAGCAGACCACTGCCATTGAGTTGATGCTGACTCAGCAGTGGGATAGGACAGAGTAGAACTGCCCCAGAGGGCTTCCTAAACTATGAATCTTTATGAAAACTGAGAGCCCCATTCGTTCTCTGTTTTCTCATGCTGGGTTTGAACTGCCAACCTCACTGCCAACTAGGGCTGAGTAGACCTTGCCTATTTAGTTGGGTCTTGTGTCCTTAAATTCTGATGGAGTGGTCATCACACCCTAGGTCTCCCAAGAGGATAAGAGATTCTTCATCTTCTCCAGAAAACCTTCTTTGGGTTTGTGCACATAAAACAAATGGGAAGTTAAAGTTTGCAGGTTTCAAAGTTGATGTAAGATATTGGGGTTCATATATTTGTTGGGGACCGTTTGCTTTCCTTTTAAAAATTCCTAGAGTAGGAAATAGTCATTCCCTTTTAATCCTTGTTTTTTCTCTTTTAGGATTCTATAATAAGATGAAGAAATATTTAGAATTGACCTGTTCCTTGATTTTGGGGCTTAGCTTTAGGAGCAAGGAGCAGAAGGCTGAGGTGGAAAAACCTCACCTGTGATCTTTCTCTTGGCCTGTTCCCTCTTTCACCAAATGGAAGCCACACTTAAACCTTGTCTGAATTTATTACTAAACTACCATGCAGTTCAAATGTATGTGAAGTTGCTTTGAAAATTTATGTAACGTTTGGTTAATTTAGAAATGCCCCGAGAACAGATGGCAACACTTAGAATTTCAAAATAAATGCTTCTCTGTGTTTTCCGTAGAAAAATGTTGGTAACCGTCATCGTAGCTACTCGTGACTGAGCCTTCCCTGAAGGGTCCCTGGAAGCTGACTGTGTTTGGTGTGTTGTCCCACGGTGCCGTCTCTTTCTTGTAGGTTCGAAGCTACAACAGGCTGACCCCCATCTCTGTGCTGGATCACGCACTAGAGTCTTTAGATAACCTTCGACCAGGGGACTGCATTGTCTGTTTCAGTAAGAACGATATTTACTCTGTGAGTCGACAGATTGAGATTCGAGGATTGGAATCCGCTGTTATATATGGCAGTCTCCCACCTGGTAAGTATTGGCTTTCATTCTGGCAAGATACGCAATCTCTTCCTGGCAAGATATGTATAGAAAGCACAGTAAAAGATACTGGATTTTACCACTTGATAGATGAGTAGTTTGTTATCGGTTGTATAAACTACTTCTTTATCTTGTGGGAATAGAAGTGTTATAATTAATTATAGCCCTTTTGTTTATAATATTTAAATATGTTAAATGTTAAATTTATGATTTTCTTACAGAAACATGAAAATATGGACTTGGTGATAGCTTCGAAGCTATAATCCTGAAATGTGTTAATAAGGGTTATCAGACATGATAAGCTTATTACGGTGTGGGACTGGTTGCTATGGGAGGATGTATTTAATGGGTGAGAGTAAAGAATGTCTTTATTAAAGCTGGATTCTGATTCATAAAAGTGGAAAGAGCAAGAGGTGAAATAATGTACTTAGTGTGATGTGGTAAGAAAGCCTATGATTTAGCATAAACTGCTCTTGTTGTAGGGACCAAGCTGGCTCAGGCAAAAAAATTTAACGATCCCAATGATCCCTGCAAAATCCTGGTAGCTACAGATGCAATTGGCATGGGACTTAATTTGTAAGTAATTTGTTTTTAATAATTACGGGAATTCAGTGGGTTAGACAGCTTTTTTTTTCTTTTAATTTTCTAATTGGGATTAGAATGACCAAACGCTTTTGGTTTAGAGGCGTGTACATTACCGTACTTGTAGGTAGGTTCCGGTAAGTGGGCGCAGCCATGGAGACCCACGTGCTGAGTAGAACTGCCCGGCAGGTCATGCTAATGGAAACAGATGAGCTGCTTGTCCTGGGAGTCCCGGTCAGGGTGGGTGTGAACCTCTTGCCCTGCTGTTTATCGCTGCACACCTAACTGTTCACCAGTTATGCCTTATAAATTAGTAGCCCCTAACGTTTTAAAACAATCTGAGAATACTTAATTTCTTTTAAGAATAACTTTAAAAATCACATTTTTTTGTAGTTTTACAGAGGTGTAATTTACATGTCTTGCAATTTACACATTATTAGTCTACCACTTGATGATTAGTAAATTTGCACTAACACCATCCTCCCTCCAAAATCCACTTCCATTGAATTGATTGCAACTCATAAATATCTTATGTAAGGTGCCTGAGGCCATACATTTAAAAAAATCATTTTATTGGGGGCTGAGGCTGTAAATTTTTTTTTTCCCCATCAAGTGGGGTTTTTTTTTGGTTTATTTTTTTTGAGTGTGAGAGAGTGAGTGAGTGTGACGAGGCTGTAAATTTTAAGAGAGGAGACAGACTCATCTTTTCCCTCGGGGAGGCTGGTGGGTTTGAACCACTACCCTACAGCACCACCAGGGCTCCTGTTAAGTGTGCCTAGTTGTTGAGACTATTAATTGAAATGAAGAATTACCCACAAACTGCGTTTTCTTTGGTGGTGGTGGAAAGATAGCGTGAATTCAGTAATTGCGACGTGTAGCTCCTCGACACTGGTAGCTATTCTTCAGGTCTCTCTGTAATTTAGATGGTGGGCAGCATTGCAAGTGGGTCTAAACTACAACTGGAGTGAGGGTTTTGTGTTAAGCCAAGTGACCGAAGGTTTTGCCTACTTCAGGAGCACAAGAAGGATTATTTTTCCACTTTGATTTCTATTTTAGGAGCATAAGAAGAATTATCTTTTACTCCCTCCTGAAGCCGAGTATTAATGAAAAGGGAGAGAAAGAAATCGAGCCGATCACTACCTCTCAGGCCTTGCAGATTGCTGGCAGAGCTGGACGATTCAGCTCGAGATTTAAAGAAGGAGAGGTCACAACAATGAACCGTGAAGATCTGAATTTGTTAAAGGAGATCTTGAACAGGCCTGTGGAACCTATAAGGGTAAGACACCTTATTAATTACCATATTAATTAATTACTTCTCTGTGGGGTTAAGGGTAAGAGGGAGCCCCACAAAACATCACAGGTTTGTTAGGCGCAATTGTACAGCGATAATAAGTAGAGATTATAGTAAAGTCATAGAGAGCATGAGAGTTAAAGGATAGAGTCAAGTAATGGAGTCAGACACAATTCATGGTAGCATATCTCACCTCCGCCCGGCTTGATGGTCCTCGTGGAGGGGGCTTAGCTGTCAGAGAAGAAGCCGCTGCTTCGTCCTCCTTCGTCACCTCCTGGCCACCCTCTCTGGCCAGCCACCCTCACGAGTACCAGGGAGCCTCGATATTTATTGCTAACCACGCATCATAGAGTCATACATCACAGAAAGGGGCAATACAATTCATTCTAGATCACTCTAACTTTTCACATAATAAAACAGACAATTACTTTTCTGGGAGGCATGCAAGTTCCCTGATGGTGGACAATAACCTGAGTCACCAGGAGGGATATTAACATAGGCAATACAATCAATAGGAGAGGAATCACCTAGGGGTGATTGTGCCCACATTGGTTGTGGAATAGACAGTGGTGTCTGCTTGATCTAGACAGCTGATAATGGCTAACTAACCTTGGTCACCCTTGGGCGGGTTTGACCTCTCTGGTAAGTCTGCAAGTGAATAGACCACCATTATCCTTATCAGAAGGGAGTGGGTCTTATTCGGGGTGAGTCAGACTAATAGTCTAGCCACTACAGATGGCCAATGTTAAGGAGAATAACCTCTGACCTACTTTTGCCGACAGTCACTCTTAAGCAGCTAAGTTTGGTACATATTTTGGGGAGACAACTTAAGAGAATTCCTTCTGTTCCCCACACTTCTCTATGGAGTGTAATTACTCCTTTCATCACTCACCATTGAGATATTTGCCTCAGGTATCAGGAAACATAAATAACCGCACCTGGTGGCTTTGTTTTTTGGATGCCGTGAAAAGGTCAGGACAAGCCCACTTCGGGGCTTTGCTGACCCCTGGGTCAGAGACGGGTGCACGCGAGCACCTGCCTTTCCTTGAAGTTCTTTCTCGGTACAGTTATTTGAGGTGTGCACTTGGAGCTGAGTCGGCAGACCAAAAAATTGTGAGTCTGAATATCAAAGAAACCTGCGAGTATGGGGGGAAAATAATGCACACTCTCTTCATTCTTGTACGCACCTATGGTAATTCCTTAGTACTGTGAGTAATATAAGGAGCCCGGTGGTGTGGTGGTTAAGTGTTGGGCTGTGATCGGAAAGGTGTGCAGTTTGAAACCACCAGCCACCCCATGGGAGGATGACGGGGCTTTCTACTCCTGTGAACCGTTAGTGCCAGAAGCTCACAGGGACGGTTTTACCCTGCCTTGGATGGGCGCCAGGAGCTGGCCCCAACTCAGTGGGTCTGTTTGGGGCGGTTTGTTTTTGTTTTTGAGTAATTGTACAAGAAGGAAAATTTAATTCAGTTTTCCCCTCAAACTTTTAGCAGTCCCCTTGCATAGCTAAAGAGATCATTGATCTTCAGTTTTGAAATTTTCTAATGTATGTATATCTCTATCTAATTGATTTCCCTGTTTAAAGGAATTGGAGTTTTGTAGTTCACTTTTGGCAGTGGGGAGAACTTCGGTTGGGAAGGTGGTTTTTGGTAGTACACCCGTCATCACCCATTTCAGAACATGACTAGAATGTAGGTGACGGAGGGTTCCTTAAGCTTGAGTTCAGTTGTACCGTTAAGTTCGTCAGTGTGCCGACGGGGTGGTGAGCCGTCAAGTGATTGTTACTGTGCCTTTTCATTCCAATTCTTGGCATGTGCGACTTACCTTGAAATAATTTAAGAAAAAGTGTCCTTTTTTGGTTTTTAATCAGCTAACGGTGGTTTTTTTCTTTTACTAAAGGCAGCTGGTCTTCATCCAACCGCTGAACAGATTGAAATGTTTGCCTACCACCTCCCTGATACCACCCTGTCTAATCTCATTGTAAGTGAAATTCACTTAAAAAAAACCAACTTGTTGTTGTTGAAAAAAATACTTGTTGTTGTTGCCTATGTGCACATCAGCACAAACAGCAGGCCAACCATTTCTACAGGTATTGATTAGTGACATTGGTTACAGTCCCTGAGTTAATGAATTGTTCCTGCTGTGGTTCCTGTCTAATCTTTTGAGTTGCCACTGTCACTTTAATCCGTAGTAGGTAGATCTTAAATGAGTATAATGCTCAAGCCAGACCTTTTTCACTGGTTAAGTGAAACTCTTGCTCGTGTGTGTGTTTTACTAATAGTTTTATTTATATGAAGTTCACATATCATACACTCCCATAGTTAAGTCCCTTTAAAAAAGAGTTGTAGGTACATCTAGTGCTCCCTCCCCACTCCTGCATTGTTTGCTCCCCAGTTCTCCCCTCCCCCCATCCCCTTTCCCCACTAAACCACTATTACTCCCGTGCTTCATAAACTGGGAAATATAACAATCACAATAAAAACAAAAAAAAACCCAAATATATATTCAGGTTGGGTCGGGGAGGAGGTCATCTGACCAGGTCTGACCAGGCATCATACCGTAGTTCCATCCTCCATAATCAAGTTTACAATTATCTCTGTGTGGTCAGAGGGGATCTACCAGAGGCTTAATCTGACCAGATACTCTGCAGATAGATTTTGGGCTCCCACCACCCTCCATAGCCTTCCATAAAGTGGGTGTTCACAATTTAAGCTCTGATACTTTCCCCGTCATCCTATTTGGATTTTGTTATTGTCATCTTTGAATCACACATGCTGGTGTGTTTTCTTAGCTGATGTGGACTTAGTTGATGCCTCACTTAGATGGCTGCTTGTTTGAACATAAGGCTTTAAGACACCGGACATGGACCTAATATCGGGGTTTAAGTGGAGAGAAAATGTTTTGAGAATGATGTACAAATGCACGTTACACAATTGATGTGTGTATGGATTGCGATAACAGTTGTATGAGCCCCTAATAAAATGTTTTTTAAAAAAATAAATAAATAAATAAATACGAGGACTAGGTGGGAAAAACAAAACAAAACACCGGACATATTCCAAGTGATAGCCAGGCACCACCTGCTTCCTTCACAACACTTTGCTGTAGCACCCTTTTCTTTCGCGATCTCTTAATGAAGGCGACTATCCACCAGAACCATGTTAGAAGAATTAGCTCTTCTTGAATTGGGCCTAGAATTGAGTGGAAGCCCAGAATCCATCTGTTAGTCCACAGGTCATTAACTCTGGTTTACTTCAGCAGACGTATTATCATTTTTATGACAAAACCAAAAACCCCTATAAAAAATAACAAACAAACAAGAAAAACATTGCCATCCCCCGGGGTATAAGGCGATTGCGTGGATAACATCAACAATTTACCCAATGGCATGGGATTTTAGGTACTGTTGCGAAGAGGAGTTTATTCAAGTGTCGTCTAGCTGCAAACTGTAATCCATGAGCTGCTGTTTTGTACAGACTGAATTCTGAAATGATTGAGCTCTGTTTACATTGAGTATGAAGGTTGGTGCTAACGCAAAATTTCCCATAACTTGTTTGGTTTAGATTCCAGGCGATATCTCCAGTTTAAGACTTAAGCATTATCGACCCCTGCTGGTGGAGTGGGTTCCTGCTGGGCCGTCAGCAGTTGGAAACCGCTGGCTGCTCCTTGGGCAAAAGCTGAGGCTCTGCTTCCATGAAGGCTTCCAGTCTCAGAATCCCCCAGTGCCAGCTCTCTTCCATCCAGTGGGGTCAGTGTAAGTCAGAATTGACTTGATGGAAGTGATTTGGCTCTGTTCTTTAAGTTTGTGGAAGACTGTGAGATTTCTTAAATCCATTTGTAAGTCTCCATTGTTGTCTTTCTGGCAACGACCGCCCCCTCTCAATGATGTCGACTGGGGCTCCCTAGTCATAACGGCGCCGTGGGTTTTTGAGACTCTAGCTCTTCATGAGAGTAGAGAGCCTGAACAACCGCAGCAGTAGCAGAATGATCTCTGAGCCGTCGTTTTAGGGCCTTGCCCTGCTTCATGGTCCAGAAAGTCTCGGTCCCGTGAGCACTTGACATGGTCTGGTGCAGTCTCCCTTGTCTGAGCAGGACTCCTCTCTGGAGCCTTTGGTGGAGACCCTTAGTGATGAAGCTGAGCACTGCACACAGTCTGGCCCCATGGCAAAGGAGGCAGTTACACATTCCAGTCCTCCTCCTGTTCCCGACTCTCCGTGCTCCTCTATTGTTCCTGGCCAGTAGAGACCAATTGTTGTGCCTTGGGTGACCGCTTGTACCCTTTTAAGATCCTAGGCATACTGCCAAGAACCAGGGCTAGAGCAAAGGCACAAAACCTTATTAGGCCAATTAAGTGGGCTGTCCCATGAAACCATGACCCTGAGCTTCCAAACCCGAGAAAGGGCAGAAACTCCCCTTTAAATCGCCTTTGTTTTCTAAAACTGTTGGTGATAGGTCATACAAATTACTTGTGAGCATGAATGGTTTATTTTCGCGAAGTTACTATTTGTGAAATTTATCTTGAAGTGAAAATTTTCTCAGAAATGTCTGGGACTTTTGTCCTGAGGATTTTATCGCTTAAGAACTTCCGGTTGATGAATCCAGCGTGGTTTTTTGGAAGCCACTTATAGATGAAAGAGATTGTCTTTTGTGGACTTAACATGCTTTATGCAGGCCCAGCTTGACAATCTTTAATGTCATATATCTTTCCCTCCTCAGGATATTTTTGTAGACTTTTCACAAGTTGATGGGCAGTATTTTGTCTGCAATATGGATGATTTTAAATTTTCTGCAGAACTGATCCAGCATATTCCATTAAGTCTGCGAGTGAGGTATGTTTTCTGCACAGCCCCAATCAACAAGAAGCAGCCTTTTGTTTGCTCTTCATTGTTACAGGTAAGCCTCTCTGACACTTGGAGTTTGTTTCAGATGGATGGATTTTCCCTAAACAGTACTTTTTAAACTGAGAAAGTTGGGAGAGTGCCCTATAATACGAATAACTTTGTAAGAACTTGGAAAATTAATCTTAAAAATGGTTTAATTTCACAAATCCTTTCTTTGTACAGATTCAAGACATTATAGATTGCTTAGACTGCCCTTCTACCCTGCCCCCATGCTCAGTCTTTGTGATACTTCCGGCTGGGTTCCTGCAGAACCTTCCCTCTGCATCTGCCCATAGGCATATCTAGAAGGGGCTGAAAATAGGATCAAAAGATACTGGCACTATCTCATGACTTACTGAAGCCCCTGTCTCCTGTAGTAGAGGTTATGTTTAATAATGTCTGGCACCGGAGTGCCCTTTGTACCCCCACTGAAGCACGTTCCCCAACAAAAGCTTATGTAATTGAGGAGGACGCTGAGTGGTGACACATAGCTAGTAAGTGGCAGAGCCATGATAATTCATGACCAACCTTGCACTGGGCCACGCTCAAAGAATTTCTTTGTGAGAAGAGCCAACGTTAAGAAGATAAAGAAAATTAAGGTGTCTGAGGTTTGGGGACTACGTGAAGAGGAGGTGGAAATGGGAGTTTGCAGATAACTGCTTGCTCACAGCTTGGAACATCAAATATTTATCAAGGAGAGTTAACAGCCTTGGGACCTAGGAAGCTAGTTCTCACACACTGTTGCCCTGATTTTGGAAAGGGGAGAAAATCACCCCTTTTCCCCAGTACTTTTACGAAAGTACTGAATGTTCTTTAAAAAGTAACTGCTTGCTGGCGCATCATGGTGACTAGGGCAGAGTCAGTTTCTTAGGCTGTACCTCAGCAGCACACCCCGAAAGCAGTCTTTACAGAAACCCTGCCAAATCTTTCTTCCCTGTAGTAGCTGGTGGGTTCTGACTGCTGACTTTTGGGGTAGCAGTCACCATTATGCCATCTAAGGGCTAGAAAAATACACTGTTGTTGGTAAGTGCATGCAGTCCAATCTGACTCAGAGAGAGTCTGTGCACGACTGAACCAAACACTGCTCAGTCGTGCACCGTCCTCACAGTGGTGGGCACATGTGAGCCCCGGGGAAAGAGCCGTCTTCTCTAGCACCGCCCTTCTCCGTTACCACGCATGCTGTCCTTTTCCAGGCACTGGTGTCTACTGACGTTTGTGAGACAAAATCTTGTCATCCTCACTTCCAAGTAGATTTTTTTTTTTCTGGCAGTCTACGGTTCTTTGTAAGTTCTTCCCCAACACCGAACTTTCACATGCGTCTGAGGCCATTAAAGAGACCAAGGCTGGAATCGGGCACGCCTCTGTCCTCAGAGTGACATCCTTGCTTTTTAGCACCTGAAAGAGATGTCATGCAGATTTTCCCAATGTGATGTGTGGGTTGATCTCTTGACTGTTGCTCCCATGAACTCTTGATTGTGAGTCCAAGCAAGATGAAATCCTTGACTTCAGCCCCTTTTCCGTCTATCATGATGTTGTCTTTTGGTCCAGTTGTGAGGACAAAAAAGGGAACCTCTGACTACCTGACCTCAAAGCCCATGACATAGCCACAGTAGTTAAAACAGCCTGATACTGGTGCAGTGATAGGGACAAAGACCAATGGAACAAAACATGAAACCCAGAAATATATTCATTCACCTTAGACAAATGATCTTTGACAAAAGATCCAAACAAATTCAGTGGTAAAGAGCCTCTTCAATAAATGGTGATAGGTGCTAACAAAATTGGATCTCTTTTTAGTAGAAGAATGAAACAGGACCCAGACCTCATCCCATGTCCAAAACCAAACTCCAGACAGATCAAAGGCCTGAGTGTAAATCACAGAGTGATGAAGATTATCAGTGAGAAAAATGGACAGACTTAAGGGCCCTGTTGAAGAGCATGGACATACTACCAAATGTGATAAAGGAAGCACATAGTAGAAGAGGCAATATAGGTGACTGGGACCTACTGAAAACAAGACACTTAAGTAAATCAGAAGACTTGATCAAGAGTCAAGAGAAACCAAAGACCGGAAATATTTCTTAGCCATAATCCCAAAGACAAGGGATAAATCTCCAACATCTATAGCAAACTGAAATGCTTCAATAAGAAAAAATGAATAACCCAACTAAAAATGAGGCAACAGCATGACCAGGCAGTTCACCCAGAATGACATCCAAATGCCTATCAAAAAATTGCTCACCACCGTTAGCCATCTCGGAGGTGCAAATCAAAACCACAGGGAGATAATACCTTAGACTCAGTGGCAGCCCAATTCAAAACAACCAAAAAATAAGTGCTGGAGAGGGTGTGGAAAGATTGTAATTCTCATACACTGCTGGGGGTGGGTGGGGTGTATGAATGTACAACCATTGTGGAAAGCAATTGGAAATGGGGAATAGATGTGCTGTACCAGACAGCAGTCTCTGCTTTGTTCTGTTCAAATGCATGCCTCTTGGTGCAGATCCCACAGGAACACAATGAGATGTGATGGAATTCCCCTTCTTCTCACTGTGAATCCATACTTTGTTATGATCTGCCCACTTGAATGCCTTCACATTGCCATTGAGCTGATGCCAACTCATATAAAGCACAAGTAAATATCTTTCTGGTATTGTCTGCTCTCAGCCAAAATCATTCTGACATCAGCAGTGCTAACCCTCATGTCATGGCCTCTTCTGAATCCATCTCGATTTTCTTCTAGCTCCCTGTCATATGTACTGCTGTAGCCGATTTTGAATCATCTTCAGATTTCCACTTGCCTGTGACATGGATGATATTATTCAGTAATTTCTTGAGTCTCTTGCTCACTTTTCTTTTCAATGGGCATAAGGTTATGTATCTTTTCCAGTCAGTTGGCCCAGTGGCTGCCTTCCAAATGTCTTGGCATAGTTGAGTGAATACTTCTAGTCCTTCATCAGTTTGTTGGTATTTCATCAATTCCTGGGCCTTGTGTTTCACTAAGGCTTTCAGTTGAGCTAGGACTTCATCTTTCCCTACCATTGGTCCGTGGACTACCTCTTGATGGTTGACTTCAACCAGTTCGTTTTGGTATAGTGACTCTGTTTCATCCATCTTCTTGTGATGCTTCCTGCAGAGGTCGATATTTGCCTGTGAGATCTTTAATTATTCCAACTCTAGCCTTGAGTTTGTTTTCTTCAGTTCTTTCGGCTTGACATGTGCTGCACAGGTTCTTCCTTTTTCGTTTTCTAATTGTAAATCCTTCATTATCGTACTTTATCTTTTCAAGTTGTCTTTTGAAATGTTCTGTTTGGCTCTTTTCCTTCATTATTTCTTTCATTCGCCTTAGCTATTTCACATTCAAGAACAAGTGTCAGGATCTTTTCTGACATCTGCTCTGGTCTTTTCTTTCTTTCCTGTCTTTTTGACGACCTTTTGCTTCTGTCGTGTGTGGTGCTCTGTTCTCATCCCGTAGCGTGTCCGCTCTTCTGGCATTGCTCTTCAGCATGTCAGTCTTCTTGAATGTCCTCTACATTCAGGGGAGCTACACCATAAGGCTGCATTTTAGCTCTGCTTTCCAGCTTCAACCTGAACTTGTATATGAGCAATTGATGGTCTGTTCCACAGTCAGCTCCTAGCCTTTTTTTGGTCGATGATCTTGTGTCTTCCAGCAATTATAGTTCATCTCATTGCGTGTTTCCATCTGGCACAAAGTTAATGTGTATAGTCACTGTTGACGTTGTTGGAAAAAGGTACGGTGGTTTCTATCTCTGTGGACATATTTTCCACTTTACTGATCCTTCTTTGTTCCAACTTTCACATTTCAGTTGCCAGTAATTATTCCTGCATCTTGGTTAATTTCACACTAGTTGGTGGAATTCTTCAGTTTCTTCATCACTAGCTCTAGTAGTAGGTGGTTAACAGTGAAGAATAGTTGTATTATCTGGACTTCCTTGTAGGTGAACTGCTATTATCCTTTGATGGGCAGCATCGTATTTCAGGATAGATACTGAAATGTCCTTTTGCATGTTGAATGCAATGCTATACTTCTTGAATTTGTCATTACTGGCATAGTAAGCTATAATTGTTTGATTTAAAATGGCCAATATCCATCTATTTCAGCTCTTTAATCCCTAGACTTTTGATGTTTATGCATTTCATTTCATTTTTATCTACTCCCAGTTTCCTAGATTCATATCTCAAACATTTCTGCGTTCTGATGGATGATGGATGTTTGCAACTGTTTCTAATCAAATGAAGGTCCCGAAGGCTTTATTCCATCCATACCTGCTTTGAGGAGGCAGCATTTTCCCGGTCCCATTTTGCGTTCCTCCTAACCTAGAGATCCTCTTCAGCACTCAGGGGGATCATGTCCCACTGCTATTCATACGTCGTCAGTGGCCAGTCCCTCAGTCCCTTATTCTTTATTCGTCGTCTGCAAGCGCCACTGAAACCGGTCCCACCTGGATGACCCTGCTGGCGTTTGAAATACTAATGACGTGGCTTCCAACATCCCAGCAGCACTCAGGCCACCACAGGATGGCAGATGAGGGTGTAAAAAATATAGAATGATATAAAGAAAAGAAACCGGCCTATCTATTGAAATACAGACAGTTGGCATTTTATTTTCTTTATGATTACTGACTTAAGTGAATCCTAACTTCGTTACCAATCTCTTCTTCTTCTCAGTTTGCCAGGCAGTTTAGCAGGAATGAGCCGCTGACCTTTGCGTGGTTACGCCGGTACATTAAGTGGCCATTGCTCCCGCCTAAGAACATTAAAGACCTCATGGATCTTGAAGCTATCCACGATGTGCTGGATCTCTACCTGTGGCTAAGGTACTAAATGCTTTCCTTTTTTCTAACTAATGGGTCAAAGCAAAGGTTCGATGAGTGGCCTTCTGTGCTTTCAAAAGAGGCATGCATATGCAGGGTGCCCTGTCTCGTGCTTATTGTCCATAAAGGTATGTGAACCTGGTTTTTACCCAGCCCCCAAATGACCTAAGGAGTTGTTTGATCTTAGTTAAGGTAGCAGGGTGAGAGAGGTGCACTAGACCCTCGTGACATCCACGGTGGTCTCTGGACTGAAAACTTCGGGGTTACTTGGCAGCCTGTTAGACAGATACAGATAAGCAGAACCCCCTAGATTTACTGATTTGAATTCTGCATTTCAGCAGGATTCCCTGGTGATTCATTGGTACCCTCACATTTGAGAAGCACTGTCCCAGGCAGGGCGTAGGCCCCTGGGGGAGCCTAGCACACTCAGCTGAGGCTGAGCAAAGGCGCTGTAGATTTTGCAGTCCGTCAGTGTCACGATGTAGACGGGTCATTGATTCTAGACCAGCAGCTGCGATAAAAGCTGTGAACTACAATATACTATGTCTTTGTTCCCAGCTACCGATTCATGGATATGTTTCCAGATGCCAGTCTTATTAGAGATCTCCAGAAAGAACTGGATGGCATTATCCAAGAGGGAGTACACAACATCACTAAGTTGATTAAGATTTCCGAGACACACAAGCTGTTGCATTTGGAGAGCTTGCCAGCAGGGAGCCAGTCCCGCCTGTCGGGAACCTTGAAGAGCCAAGCCAGAAGGACACGTGGCACCAAAACTCTAGGGAATAAAGCTGCTGAGCCACCCAGCCTCGAGGCAGGACAGAAATCTCTTGCTTCCCGACTGGTGCAGCAGGGGCTCCTCACTCCTGACCTGCTGAGACAGCTGGAGAGAGAGTGGCTGACACAGCAAAGTGAGCATGGCGAGCAGAGAACGGACTCGGGGGCTTCCGCCAAAGCGACGAGGAGGAAGAAGAAGGAGCCGGGCTCAGAGTAGTCTTTGTTTCGGTTTGTTTTTTAATGTTGGAAATAAAATCCTATTTAAAATTTTCTTTTCCTGCCTGCTGTAATATTTTGGCTAGCTCTTTTTTATTTTTGCACAGAAAAATTAACTCACAAAGATGACCAGATTGCTGTTGTTTTTTCACCAATAAGACGTTACTGGGATGCCTTAGAAATTATATTTAAATCTCGGTTTTACATTTTGAATCGTGGCCATTTATAAATACGGCAACATGGCAGGGTGCTATCAGGAAGTTTACATGGGAATCAAACCAACTTGCTGAATTGTTGGACCAATTTTCTACAGGGTAGAAATTTATGTATCATGTACCTGTTGGTTCATCCACCACATAATATCTGCCATATACCAGAATTTGGTGCTAAAGATATGCAGTAAGCAAAGCTGATATTCTTGACCTTGTGAGTTTATATTTTGGTTGGAGGAAGTTAACAAAGGATGTAAGCGTCATGAGGCCATAGACTGTCTTGATCCCTGCCCTATACAGCGCCTGGAATATAGTGAGGCACTCTAATGGGGCACTGGGTAAAGCATCGGGCCACGGAGAAAGAGGAGCCACTGCTCTCTGAAGTTCTACTGTCTCGGAAACCCTGTGCAGCAGTTCTGTAATGTTTCCATGAGCATGGGCTCAGCAGAACTGGATGGTGGGTAGAATACAGAAGTGTAGTCCATACTTGTGTGGAACAAGTATCATTCATGAGAGATTGAGGCTAGAAGTAAGTAGATGGAGAGTGATGGCTGGAAGTTGCAGAGCAATTTAGAGATAGATGGTGGTCTAAAGGCTGGTCTTCTGCCTGGTAATCTCCTCGTCCAACCCAATTTTTAATTCTTCCCGGTTGGAAGCAGCTAAAAGGAGTTAACGTCTGTTTTGGAATTGGAGAGACCTGGGTTTAGATTCTTTTGTCACGTAGGACTCTTGTGACCTTATCTTGAAAAAAATAAAAAGCCATGAGTCAGTTCTGACTGATAGCAACCTTTCAGGCCAGAATAGAACTGGTCCTTTGGCCTCTGACACAGTAAGACTGTACAGGTGGAGAGAGCCTCATCTTCTCCACTGTGAAATTGCTGATCGGTTCAAGCTGCTGATCTTGTGGTTCAAAATCCAATGAGGAACTCACGACACCAGCAGAGCTTTCTACTCACACGGTGAGTTCACCCCATCCTTTTGCAGTTAGACGTGATGACGTGCCATCTAGAACAGGGTGTAGTGCCACAAAGTGACTCTCCAGGGTTCGGTCTGTTTTACTCTGTCACTTTAGCTCTTCGGTCTGTTTGGGCCGGGTCTGGACCAAGGCAGCCCCTTGTACCAGCATCTTGAGAAGACAAATGACCTGGCTGAACTTCAAAGCACCTGCCTCCAGCATTTCATAAAGCTTACCTCCCCGGGCAGAACACAGCCTCCACTCCCCAGCGTTCCAGGAAGCAAGTTTGCTGAGAACAAGATGATTTACTCACAGGCCCCATCCTGGCTAAATCCTGCAGCTACAGCACACAAAAAACTCCCCCTTATCAACACATACATCTTTGGCTTGGACCCTATATAAGTCCCACTGCCTCACTGCCAGGTGCGATTTTCCTGACCTAACTCATTGGGTCTTGGAACCTGCCTGGGGGCTCAAGATGGCCCCCATCCCTGTTTCTACTCTCCCCTCCCGAGAGTTCTTTCCCTGCTTCAATAAAATCTTTCTCAACGTCACATTCCTGGCTACATTCTATTTCTATTCTGCGCCTGTTCAACCTCTCAAGGTCATTCTGGCCCCTACAGGATTGAAGCTGATTTCAGACGAGATTAAGGCTCATTGGATTCAAATTGAGACAGGGAACAGAACCAGGTTTCCTAAGCTTGTCCTCGCCAGCTGCTTTGGTAATTCAGAAGATACTCCACCTCACTAAAATGACTCTTCATTTTTCTAACCTTTGCTGTCGTGGAAACATGGGCAGACATGGTGCCATGAACTGTATTTTGCTCTGGCTTATGGGTGAACAGCGAAATGCCTGCCAGAGAGTAGTACTTTTGTGGTTTTTCATTTGGACAGCTCCTTCCGTCTCTAGCTTTCCCCTGTGGTGGTGTGGACCATAGCAGACACACTCATTCTTGCGCAGATGAGTCGACTTGCAAAATGGCTTCAGTCCCATGGCAGGTGATGAAGCCCATCACTCGGGTGGTGGCGATTTCTCCCTGCTTGCCGCAGTGTGACGGCCCGAGGAAAGTCCACGGAGACCCAGAAGGAAGACACGCATTGCAGGCATGCTCCAAGTGAAGCCTCAGAGGTTTGGGGATTGAGGGTGTAAGGGAAGGGCCGAACATTTAGCTAATGCGTGCAAATAGAATGAGCCCTTCACCTTTCCCCCGCTGGGGCAGAGGGAGGGCATGGTTAAGCAGAAGAGACTAAAGAAAGTCGCTGGTGTCGTGAGTTCCTTGTTGGGTTTTGAGCCACAAGGTCAGCAGAGCAATTTCACAGTGGAGAAGATGAGGCTCCGCCTGTACAGTCTTACTGTGTCAGAGCCTGAGGGAGCAGTGCTATTCTGTCCTGAAAGGTTGCTATCCGTCAGAACTGACGCATGCTTTTTTTTTTTCCTTCCAGGATAAGGTCACAAGAGTCCTACGTGACAAAAGAATCCAAACCCAGGTCTCTCTCCAACTCCAAAACAGACGTTAACTCCTTTTAGCTGCTTCCAACCGGGAAGAATTAAAAATTGGGTTGGACGAGGAACAGAACAGGAGAACCATTGGGGCAGCCCTGAAGGTTAATGCAGCCCGGGATTCCATCTCGGGAACAGACTTGATACGCCTTGTGCCACTCACTGATGTGGCCTTGGTGCTTTTCTAAGGAGCTCCGGTGGTGGTGTGGGTTCACTTGGGCTGCTAACTGAAAGGTCAGTGGTTTGAAACCATCAGCTCCCTCCTCAGGAAAAAGCCCAGGCTTTCCATTTCTACTTCCGTAGAGAGCTATAGCCTCAGACACCCACAGGGCAGTCCTACTCTGTTCCACAGGGTCACTGAATCGGCATCGATGTGTCAATTCAGTGAGTTTTGGTGCAGGTGCTGGGCCAGCCACGTGGTAGGTGCATGGGTCTGAGACTAACTGTTTCTGGGAGTAGAATGCCCAATCTTTCTCCTGTGGAGCTGCTGGTGGTTTTGAACTGCTGACCATGAGGATCATAGCCCAATTCCTAACCACTACACCACCAGGGCTTTCTGAGATCACTACAGATCTGGGTAATTTAATGAAGTGTGGTTAGCCCATGGATGGTTATTAGGAATAATAACAGTGACTCAGACTGCCCAGGTACTGCGGGGTTATGCATTGCACTGCTAACTGCCTGGTCTGCCATTCAAACCCATCAGCTGCTCCGAGGGAGGAGTGGTCTGCTCCTATAAAGATGAATACTCATGCAAACACAAAGAGGCAATTCTACTCGGTCCTTTTGCTAGGTAACTAAGACACAGGGATGGAGTTGTCCCTCCCATGCCTGCACAGGCCCCCTACAGGAGGTTGGGAAGGAAATCAGGCGACCATTAGCTACCCATGAAGACCTTAACTGGGCATGCTCCAATTCAGGCCCCCGAATCAGGTGGATGTTACACCTGGGTGGCCAAACTAGGCCCAGGTGGGCTTAATTCAGCCAATGGGGTCAACTGATATCTTCAACCACACCTGCCAGCCTGAGGTTTGAAATACCCTGGCCTCTGGTGGCCAGCCTTTCTCTCTCTTTACCCTCCCTGCTCCTGGGCCTGCTCTCTGGCCTCAGTTCACCATGTGTGAGCACACAGTGCCACAGTTGCTGTGTTCAGTTATGGGCCCCAGTGTGGCTTCTGAGTGGTTTGGCATGCTTCCCTGAAATAGCAAGTACCTTTTGAGACTGTAAAACCTAAAACTTCGGGGAAAGGAAGGCAGGTGTCAACAAACCCAGGGACAAGAGAACAAGCGATCTAAAACCGATGGCGAGGAGGGCATAGGATGCCTGGTGGGGCTTGATCAAGGGCAGTGTTGCTGAGCGGAATTACTGAAACCTGAATGAAGGCTGAACATGATAGTGGGACAAGAGGAAAGTAAAAGGAAATAGTGGAAAGAACTAGGAGGCAAAGGACACTTATACAGGTCTATACATACATAGACCTGTACAGATATAAATATATAAGTAGAGAAATAGATCTATGTAACTATATGTTAAGTATTAAGGCAGCAGATGGACATTGAGCCTCTATTTTATAGGCGTTTAATGGTCACTTGATTTCCTTCCCAACATCCTCTAGGGCAGTGGTTCTCAGAAAACACTTATTTCCGATGGTCTTAGGAACCGAGACACCCCTCTATCCATCTCCAGGCGGGTTCGCCTACCTGCAGACACGCCCACAGACGAGTACCCAGTGTGAAGACTGTTACCATGCTCTAAGACAAAATTTCATTTATTTGTAATTAGAAATAAGTATTTCACAATATAGAATTATATATTGTTTTTGTGATTAATACTATGCTTTATGTTCAATTTGTAGCAATAAAACACATCCTGCGTATCAGATATTTACACTACAATTCATAACAGTAGCAAAATTACAGTTATGAAGTAGCAATGATAATAATTTTATGGTTGGGGGTTACCACAACATGAGGAACTGTATTAAAGGGTCGCGGGATTAGGAAGGTTGAAAACCACTGTGCTAAGGCCTCCCTCCCCCCTTTACAGGAAGTTGGAAGCCGATCAAGGCTAGAGGGCATGTACAAATTCAGGCCCTTGAGACAGAAAGCCAGTACATCTGGGAGCGCTCCAGTCTAGGCCAGGTGGGCTTAATTCATTCAATGGGGTCAACCAGTACCTATGGCCATGCCTCCCAGCAGAGGGCCCTGAAAAGTCAGGATGGGAGCCCACCTCCCTCCTTTCCAGCTGCTCCTGGTTGGTTGGTTTCTCTGGCCTCAGGTCTGCCTGAGCGGGTGTGAGGTGCCCTCTGGGTGCCTGTGTAAAAACGGAAACTTCTATCCTTTATAAAGCTCACTTGAATTCTTATGCAAAGCCAAGGACAGGCATTTCTCACCCGAGGATCAAACAATGTCTTCAATGTTATCTTCATCCACTCGAAATTTTTCATTTCTTTATTGTGGCTTTAGCTTCCTAGAGTTCTATTATTTGATGGCTTTTTTCTTTATATTTCTTTAAACTGTTTACAAATTTTTAACATTTTTCTTATTTTGAAAGCAATGTCATGTCCACATCTGAGAAGCGAGTCAATCATGTATTTGAAAAGGGGAGTCGAAATTCAGGAGGGAACATCGAGTATGACATTAAAGAAGAGAAATGGTGAGAACCCTGTTTCTTGCAGGAGTGCTGGCTGTCAGTCTGAGGTTCGTAGAGAGTGGGGTCTTTATCCACTAAGAGAAAGAAGAGTGTCTATCTTGTGACAATGGAAGAAAAAACTTCCATGATTTAGTCTCCTACATTGTTACAGTGACTTAATCACCACCTGGTTCGTTTACAGTGGCTTTTTACTTATTTGTATGTACAAGATTCATATACCTAATTTGCAGATAAATCTCTGATAAATCCAGTTCAATTTCAGCTAAATGTATGCTCTCTATTATGTAATTTTTAGTAATACTACAGCTCATATATTTTTACATAGTCTTTATTTGTTTCCAAATCAGTCTGATCTAAAAACGTTCACATTTTTCTTTCTTTCTTAAATTAATATTATACTTCTGTTAGGTTCGCGCTCCTGGCCAGGAAGGGGTGGTGGGACACCTAAGTAGCCATTACACCTGGATTGACCCATCTAAGCCAGGTGAATTTGATTCGGCCTATGGGGTTGACCATGCCTCCCAACGTGACCCCTGAGAAGCCAGAGGTTTCGCACTGATGCTCCCTCCCAGCAGCTCCGGCCCACAGTTCAGCGCAGCCAGGCTGCACAGCCCATTGTGTCCGTACCGCGGCCTCTGACTTGTGTTCCATTTACTGTAAAACCTGACACTGCTTCTACCTTTCATCAAACTCACTTGGATCCCAAACCAGGCTCCGGCGTGAATTCTTTCTCTCACAAAGCCAAGGACCGACGTATCTCCTTCCCAAGAGAAGGAGAGATTTAACACTTCCAGTTCCAGGTTAATACATTCTATCTTTATTTTATAACAAAGTTTGTCATGTGCATTTACATTCAGTGCAGTATTTCACAGGGGCTTTTATTTTATTGTTGGATGAATTTAAACTGACCAGAATATAAAAATTTAATACAATCAAATAAAATATATTAGAAATTGCACCAGAGAATATATCTGAAAAAAAGCATTCCCAGAAAGTTTTACTGATTTCCAATACCCAGATTAATCCATTTCATGAGACACTAGTGTTTTTAATGATGGAATGCCTCAATTGAAACTCTATGGTTTACTGTTGACTATTCTGGCAGGGATCACAATAGAAAGTCCTAGAAAAAGTGGATGAAAAATGTGGAACAAACGTCAGAATCAGAAAAATGCCTAGGTTTATTAGTCTGATAGAGACTGGTGGGTGCACAAGGCAAGCTCCTTAGACAGGCTTCAAACCTGCAACTGGACGCCCCCCGCCTCCCCCCGGCCCCCGTTCCTTTTTCTGTCAAACAATAGACTGGCCTATAAATGAACCCTGGATCAATCTGCTGCACAAGACCTCTTTAAAATGTCGAAAAGCAAGGGGTGACTTTGAGGACTAAGGTGCGCCTGCCCGAAGCCGTGGTATTTTCAATGCCTGATATACATGTGAAAGTGAATAAGGAAGGTGGAAGAAAAATCAGCGCATTTGAACTAAGGAGTTGAGGAAGAAGCTTGAAAGTCCCAGGACCGCCAAAAGAGCAAGCAATCTGTCTTGGAAGGACAGCCAGAGTGCTGCTGAGGGGCGAGGATGGCGAGACTTGGGCTCCCTTGCTTTGGCCATGTGGGCAGAGGCGAGTCCCGGGAGCAGGACTCCATGCTTGCTGAAACAGAGGGGCAATGAAACCGAGGGAGGCGCTTGACGAGATGGATTGACAGGGGCTCCAACAACGTCGGAACCCTGGTGAGGACCGGGCACTAGTTTGTTCTGTGCAATGTCGGGTTGCGGGGTCAGAGCTGAGTCGACGGTGCCTGACACCCCACCTGTGAATGACTTCCTGCCTTCCAAAAAGGTAGTCAGCTCTGATGTACATGACCTTATAGAACTTTAAGGAGTAGGAAGTCTCCGTTTGGCCCCTTGGAGGAGCTGGTGGTTTGGAACTGCGGACCTTCTCGTGGTTATCAGTCCAACCCATAAGCTGTTACGCTGCCACTGGAGTCCCTTCGCTTAGCTAAGGGCTCAGCGCCATGAAAGCCACAGCTTTACTGATGCTCTTCCAGCACCCTGGGCTCTGAGCGCCGAGATCTGTCCGTGTAGTTAGGGTGTTGATTCCGACCCAGGGACCCCGTGTATGGCAGAGGGAAACACCGCCCTGCCCTGCGCCAGCCCCCTCCCAATGGTTCTTGTCTGAGTTCATCGAATCAGGGTCTTCCTCTTTCTCCTAGCCCCTCTGCTTTCCCAAGCCCTGTCACTAAAGGAAGACCGAGCTACACAGGGCCAGGGAGGCAGGGCTGGGGTCCCTGTGCTGGGGAGAAAGGGGACATCTGCAGAGCAGTCTGGCCCGAGGAAGGCTGCCTTTGTTCAGAGCCCAACTTCTCAGAGAGAAGATTTTTTTTCTCAGCTGAGTGGGCTTGCGGGGGAGGGGACTGGCTGGAGAGTTGCTTAGCAGTGAGATTTTGTGGCAACCGACTGTCAAAGAGGCAAGCAGCCCATCAGTTCCCTGCTGTCCCCTGGCCAGCTAAGGACTATCACCCAACGCTTCCTACTAGACAATCAGGAGTCTGCCAGCAGGAGGGAGGGACCACAAAGAGAGAGGGCGAAGTTTAATCATTGAACTGAACAAGCCGGACACACCTCTTCCCCAGCACCCAGTTCCCCGGAGGTCTCTCCGCCTGCACTCAGTGAGAGCGGCACCCCTGCCCCCTGGGGGAAAACAGCAGTCTGCTCAGCGCCCCGACACCAAACTTAGGGAAAATGTTTGCGGTGCACTTGTTGGCCTCCTACCTCACCAAGCTGAAGGAAGACCCCATCAAGAAGGTAAGGCCTGAATAACTCAGAAAGACGCCTGCTTTTCTCTTCATGGACCCAGTTGACCCCGTCTGCATCAAAAAGAATTTAAGAGAGCTTGTTATGAAAGAGCTAGGAAGCTCAAGCTTCCTGTAAAACTCTTAAAGGTGAAGAGGAAGTAAATCTCCCACACCACATGCCGTCCTGAGCCTTGGCTCCCACGTAGAGCTTCCTGTCAGTCAGAGCCTGAAGGGGCTGGGGAGAAGGCCGTAGGAAAGCCTGAAGAGGCTGTGGGATGTGCTGTGAGGGGTGATGCTCTGTAAGGCAGAGGAGAGTCCTGTTTAATGACGTTTTGAAGCAGATCTGACTCTTCATGTGTTTGAACGAGTGCCCATACGGGTATCAAGAGGTGTGTGTGAGCTTTAACATACAAGAAGTGAAATCGTTATTATTGGCACGTGCTATTTGCCAATGGTAAGGGTCCCTGGGTGGCACACTGGTTTGCACTCACCTACTGATGGAAAGGTTGGTAGTTTGAACCCACCCAGTAGTACTGAGGAGACAAGGTCTGGTGATGGGTAAAGATCGCAGCCCAGAAAGCCCTGGGAGCACAGTTCTGCTTTGCCACGTCAGGGTTGGTTTTTGCTTTGGGCATTTGCCGGCGGTGGGAATGGAACAGATGCCTTGTTTTGTCACTTTGCCCAGGAAGCCTGTCTCCACAATGTACTTCAGGGTGGACTGGTGCAAGGTTGCCAGGGCTATGCTGGGGGCACAGCAGAATGAGCTCCTGCAGCCTGGGAGATGCCCAGCCTGCCACTTTGTCTTCCCGGGCTGGCTGCCAGCAGCAAGTCCCTGGGCACAGCATCTCTCAAGGGACAAAAAGAACCGAAGTCCTTCTATGCTTTATTGCAAAGCGCAAGTCCACACCTGGCTCCCTTCTCCGCCACACATGGATGTCCTGATGCCACCTGCCTTGAGCTCGTCCTGCCCTCCAGAGTTGGGGGACAGGGTGAGGTGGGGGTGGGGAGTGAAGGACGTCCACAGCATTCTGTTATTAAGAGCGCTGGATCAGAGGTTTCTGGAAATGTAACGATGTTATCAATTGAGCCGAGGCAGTCTGTCTCTCCTTTCCTTAGGGAGCTCTGGCGGTGTCCTTGGCTGCTAAACAGCAAGGGCAGCACCTTGATCCCACCCGTTGCTCTGAGGTAGGGAGAGGAGGCTTTCTACTCCTGTAAAGATTCGCAGTCTCGGAAACCACAGGCGCAGTTCCATCCTGTCCCACGTGGTTGCTGAGTCAGAATGAACTCAATGGCACGGAGGGTGTGGTTGTTTGTTTGCTACACTTTAATTTGTTGATTATATTCATGGAGCTTTCTACTGGCAAAAAGCTCTCGACAGCATGGCTTGGAATGAACTTTCTCTTGTTACCTCCTCCCAGAAAGTAGCTGCCTCCCTAGCCTCCAGGTCAAGTCTGCGAGTCCTGGGCCCCTCTGCGGTGGCCAAATTCACCTGCAGTCCCCGGGATCAGGTGGGGGCACGTTCGTCCACCAGCCAAGACTCAGGCTCTGGAGCGCAGTTGGAAAGGCGGCCAGCCGCCTCTGATCTGTGCTAGGTCCCGGGTAAGGGCTGGGCGTGGGCATCAGCATTTGTCCGAGCTTGAGCCGCACTGGCTCCTGCGCAGCCCCGCCCCCCTTCGGAAGCCTGCCCCGGGAGGCTGAAAGCACCCGGGAGAACGAGGAAGCAGTTAGTGGGGAAGGCTGGTTTATGGGCTGCTGAGATGACTCAGGTTCTGAGAACATATCCTCATCGGCTCTTGGAAGGGGTGAAACCACATCCGGTCAAAAGGCCTGAGTCAGGCAGCCAGGCCCCTGCGAAGTTTCTGGGCTTCAAGATTCCAGGCTAGCCATGCCGGTGAAATGTCCTACTCAGACCCCGATCAATTTTTAAAAGTATCCTCCTACTACCATTCAACCAAAAACAGAAAAGGAAGAAGGAAAGAAAAGAGGAGGCACACTGGCCGTTTCCATCCTAATTCAATATGCTGACATTGCTTGACCCTCAACAGCACTGGTGGTTTCTTCTTAAGAGAACTGGTGGGGTTTTCAAATGCGTATTTTTTTCCGGCTTAGTAAGTCAACATTACGAAAAGCGGCATTGCTCTCTATAGCCCCAGCGCACGCTCACCCACAGTCATGTTTGCTGTGTGCAAGCCTTTGTTTGTCTCTTTCCCACGGCGCTGTTTCTGCGGTTATATTTATAACGTGCACACGGTCCTTAGTGTATTCTCACCGCTTAACCATCATTTCTCCATTCGCTCTATAGTTATCATTTTAATGTCTTGTTAGTCCTCAACCACAACTTATTTCATGCCTTCTTTCTTGCTGGACATTTTGGCTACTTCTGAAAACAAAATTTTTTTCCTATTAAAATATTGCTATAATTCTAAAAACGGTATACCCAGTGTCCTCCGAATCTAAAGGTGTTTTTTGAGGACAGCGTCCCGGAAGTGAATATTGCTGGGTCAAAAAACTGAACCTTTTTATGACTCCTGATTTATAATAGGAGACCTTTGGACCACAAGAGCGCTCTGTCACTGCCTATGGTCTCATGCTGTAATCCGGTAGCTCTGCCCAGCACCCTGAGGACTTTCTGGTTCCCAAGTGGAATGTGGGAGCCTGGTGGTGTGGGTCAGAAGAGTTGGGTTGTGATCCTGCAGGCCACCAGCCGCTTGGAGGGAGGGAGAGAGATGGGGTTTTCTACTCCCATAGAGTTCCAGTCTTGGAAACTTGCAGGGGCAATTCTCCTCTGTCCTAGAGGCTCGACGGCCGTGAGTTTGAGAAGGGAAACGTGATGCTTATTGGTGCTCTTATGGAGAAGATACTGCATACTCTGCTTTGCGATTTTTAAAAAATAGTCATTCCCAAAGTGGGCGTGGCCTTCTGTCACACTGTTCCTTCATGTCTGGGATGTGTGTTCCTGGTTACATCGGTCTCAACTATATTTTAAAGCCAGTTTGATTCAGGAGCACCGTTTGAGGAGGTCCAGGGTCAGGTCTGTTCCCATGGAGGGCATCCCACCCCTCCCCGCCTCCAATTGCTTGGGTCAGTCTCATCCTTGTTTTCTCAATGTGTGTGTGGCTATGCTGGACAATGACTATGGTCAGCAACAGGCTCGGCTGATCAGGAGGTCCTTAATGAAGCATGACCTGCTTACACCCTGTCCGCTCCAATCTGCTCAAGCCCAGTGGCTACTGGCTTCTTGTTAATGGGCTCCTCTGGTTCCCGAGAGACATGCTATTTTTCTGGCTCTGGTCTCTGTGTTGATTCCAGAATGATCTCCCCCCTGCACCCCTCTTCCCTTCCCCACCCCTGACTTACAGCTGGGCAGCCATTGTATGACAAGGGTGAGGTGGGGCCTGCATTTCTGATGCCATTTGTCTGTGGCACCGGTGAATCCCAGACCAAACCTGGCAGTGCGGGCAGGGACTCTAGACCCTGTGCTATGATCCCATTGCTATGCGTCTGAACCGACCCCATGGCAGTGATTTTGACTCTTACTGCCTCCTTAGGCCCTCATCCATACCTTAGCCAGACAGCAGCTGTCAAGTTGACTCCAAGGGGCGGCCCCACGGGGTCAGAGTAGAACAGGGCACTCTGGGGTTTTCCAAGGCTGCCTTTTCAGAAGCAAATCCCCAGACCTGCCTCCCCAAATCCCTGCATGGATTTGACCCTCCAACCTTTTGGTTAACTGCTGAGTGCATTGACTGTTTGCACTGACCTGGGCTTCCCATTTCTGAATTAGGGACAATTAGTATTCTCTTGGCCTCATCTGCCGTCTCAAAGCAATGTTGGGAGATGAAATGACTGACCTACATGAAAGCTGTTTGTAGCCTGCAGCCAGTGTCCTGAGCCTTAGATGGGTGTGGCGTGCATTTCCTGAGGGACGTGCCCTGTGTCCCTCCTCCTTGGGACCTGAGTCACAAAAAGCAGGGGTGGGACGTATAGGGGACATCTGCCACTCCCTCTCCTCTTGCTTCATCCATTATGCATCATTGTCCATTTCCCAGGAAGCCCTGGGAATGCCAACTAGCCAACATTCACTTTAGGGGAAGGAACTTTCCACCATCTTTAACTTACCCTCAAGTGGACTGAGCATCGCCGAACCACTGGTGGTTACTTCTCTCCACCACAACAGAGATCCTTTCCCCCAGGTTTCTGGTTCCGTGTATTTGAGGGACAGCTGCTCAATGCTGTCCCTTAGCAATTTAAGTGGACTTTACAAATGAAACTTCATCTGAGTTTAAACAAAGGAGCCCTGGTGGCATGTAGGGCTAAGTGTTGGACTGCTAACCACAAGGTCAGTGGTTTGAACCCACCCATCATCCTGGGTGTAGAAAGATGAGGCTGTCTGCTCCTGTAAAGATTTATAGCCTCAAAAACCCCAAAGCGCAGTTCTACTCTGTCCTATAGGTTCACTATGAGTCAGAATCTACAGTGAGACGTTCCACTCCGCTCAGTTAAAAAAAAACACAACAGATATACACTTACAGGATTGGATTTTAGAGATTATCGCTGGAAAATAAACTGAACTTTGAGTTTCCTGGCAGCCACTGAGCTAAGGGAAACGTGTGAATGTTTAGTCTCATAATCAGATAATAGAAATCTTCCACATCACACAAAAGGAAGCTCCCGTGTTTAGGAATCTGAGAGTTAAGTTATATTGTGTTTATTTCCAGTGGAGATGCCGATGGAGACTTGAACTGAGAAGTAGAAAACTTGCCTCCCACAGTTCCATCTGAAAAAGGGGAGGGTCATTTCTTTCTCTGCCATTCGCGTCCTCTAACGACCCTAGAGGAGAGAGTGGAACTGCTCGTTTGCAAGGTTTCCAAGACTGCGAATCTGTTCAGGAGCAGACAACCTCATCCTGCTCCCACGCAGTACTGGGTGGGCTTGAACCGCTGGCTTTCTGTTTAGCAGCTGAGCTTTGAACCAGTGCACCAGCAGCATTCTTCTACCAGGAGAAGTCATGTTGATAGTAAGAAGGAAGCCTTGCCGGGATGTGATGAAATGACAGAGGGTGACGATGAGGGAAGCCTGCACAAAAGGGAGGTGGAGGCACACATCCCCCATGCCGCTGAGCCTCAGAGCTCAAGGGCCTTTGGGAATCCAAATCACAAAATTATGCCTTGATTCGGGATTGCAGCTGGCTATGAGGTTGGGTTTGGGGTTTACGGTCTTGACTGGCTGTCCCGGTCCCTGTTCCAGGTGGACAGATTCCTGTATCACATGCGGCTCTCCGATGAGACCCTCTTGGAAATCATGGCACGGTTCCAGGCCGAGATGGAGAAGGGCTTGCGGAAGGACACCAATCCCACGGCAGCAGTGAAGATGCTGCCCACCTTTGTTAGGGCCATTCCGGATGGTTCTGGTGAGTGGAGCTGGGCCTGCAGCTGGGCCTGCAGCTGGTCCCCTGGTCCCTGTGGTTCCTCCTGGCTGGTGGTACGTGATCTTTAGTCCCAGACCCCAGCTTTCTCTCCACTCCACCCTCTCCCTCCCACTCTCTCTAGCAGTAGTACTGAACCCCTCTGGGATCCTGAGACAGACGCGTGATACTTTCTCTCTGCCCCCCAGGCCCCACGCCCCTGCAGTCTTCGTTCCTCTTTGTCATGCACCATAGCAGTTCTGCTCCATCCTAAAAGGTCACTGGAAGGTGGGAATGACAGAGAAAGTAATGGTACCCAGGCATTCAGACCCAGACAATTGTTGCTGTTGTCGTTAGGTACTGCCACTTCATTTCTACCTCAGTGATCCTGTGTACAACGGAAGAACACCCCGCCCGCCCCTGCGCCAGCTTCACGTGGTGATGCTCCAGGCTTCCTCCTTGTCACTGCCCTTCTGCTTTACCAAGCACGGTGTCCTTTGCCAGGGCTCGGCCTCTCCTGATAACATGTCCAGAGGACTTGAGATGAAGCCTCCCATCCTTTCGCCCAGGAGCGCTCCGGCTGTATTTCCAAGACGGGTTTGTTCGTTCTTGCGGCAGTTATGGGGTTTGCCGTATCCTTCACCAGCACAACAACGCAAGCGCATCGCTTCGTCTTTGTCTTCCTTATTCAGTGTCCAACCTTCACGTGCAACTGAGGTGATCGAAAAATACCATGGTTTGGGTCAAGTGCCCTGAGGCTTCAACATTTTAACCCTATAACGCCTGCATTTTTAATTCCAGGGAAATTTTTTAGTCTTTGATTTCATAGTTATCAATATATATATTAATATAAACATTCAATTAAATGTTACGAAAACATCACACGGCGTTATAGGAGGGCTCCTGCAGAAGACTTGCCCAACCCATCATTTGTTTCTTGGCTTCTGCTCCTATGAGCGTTGATTGTGGATCCCAGCACGAGGAAACCCTTGACAAACCCAGTCTTTTCTCTGTTTAGTATGATGTTGCTTATTGGCCCACGTGTGAGCATTTTGGCTTTCTTTACATTGAGTTGTACTGAAGGCTGCAGTCTTTGAACTTCATCAAGTGCGTCAAGTCTTCCTCACGTCCAGCAAACAACACTGTGTTGTCTGGATAGCTCAGGTTGCTCGTAACCAGATGCTCCACTGAGACATCTTCCCATCGTCTGGTTTCTTGGATTATTTGCTCAGTAGACAGATTGAATAACTATGGTGAAAGGAATCAACTCTTTGAAAGGATACACCTTTTCTGATTTAAAATCATTCAGCATTTCCTTGTTCTGTTGGATTGCTTCTTGGTCCAGGTCCAGGGAGCACGTAGGCACAACAAAGTGGACCAGAATTCACGTTCTTCTCAGTGCCATCCCTAGTTTTTATGATCCACGTAGTTGAATGTCTTTGCCTAGTGGATGGAACACAGGACACATTGTGTTAATATTCTCTGCTTCCAACTAAGCTACATCTGATGTCAGCAATAGATTTCTTCATTGCACATCCTCTTCTGAATTCAGCTCGGACTCCCGGCAGCTCCCCTTTGATGCACTGCAGCTGTGGTCAAATGATCCTCCACAAAATTGACAGGCATGTGATATTAATGGTCGTGTTTGATCATTTCTGCATCATATTGGATCACCTTCTTTGGAATGGGTACAAATATGGATCTCTTCCAGTCAGTTGGCCATGTAGCTGTTTCCCAAATTTCTTTCCAGAGACAAATGACTGCTTCAGTGCTTCATCAGCTTGATGAACCTTTTCAACTGGTATTCTATCAATTCCTGGACAATTTAGGGGTCATTATATTGCCTACCACAGTCTAGAATCTTCTAAAGGGGATCATTCTCAGCCTCTGAGCAAAGCCTTAAGAGGGAAAGGAACAGATAGTTACGGAGCATCTGCTGTGGCTCTTGGTGACCAGGGACTCACTGCCATGCGCAATCCCTGGCACAGCCTTGTGGCTTTTTCCCCAGGTCAGACGGAAGCACTGTGGACCCAGGGGCTCATCTAGCACCAGGTCCCAGTGCCCAGACTCAGCTTCAGAAGAAGCGTGGGGGCAGGAGCAGGAGCAGGGACTACAGTTTGGAGAGCTTTGCTGAGCTGCTACTGTCCTCTGAGCCCCTGAGGAAACGTGTGGCTCAAAAGCAGCTTGGTTCTGCTGATTGTGAGGCCCAGGGAAAATGTGATGGGAAAGGCTTGGCTCCCTCTCTGGTAGGCAGGGGTACAGGTGCGAGGGATCCCCCGTGGAGAAGCACAACTTTGAATAGACTTCGAATCCCCAACTCTTATCCTTGGTGGGGCGTCCGGGCCGTTCCAAAGAAGCAAGGGGGTCAACCTCTGTTCTCTGACTCACGGGGTGTGTGGGGTGGAGGCAGGACTAAGTCCTCCTGCTCCTTGTGCTGTGACTCTTCCACCAGATAAGGAGAAGACATGTTCCAGAAGTTGGGGAAAGTGACCTTTGAGGGGCGGACATGTTTTCCTCACTCATACTGACAATGTGTTTGAAACTTGTTGGGAGACACCACCTCTTTTCTTTGTTGTCTCCCCCGATCCTCTCAATATGCAGGAACGCTTCCCAGCAACTAAAAGCAGATGAACATTAAAACTGCTTTTGATGGGGAACTGGCTGAAGGTTATCTCACCAGCAATGCTGTTGCAGGAGGGCCTACACCTGAGGCCCTTGCAAGTTCTGGGACCCCCCAGCGCTCCTGTCCTCATCAGGAAAGTCAGTTTGTCCCCCTAACTTGCAGGGTTGTTAGGGTCAGATGAAGTCGTGTGGAGGGAATGCTTTGAATTCTCTAAAAATTTACTCCAACTCCTTCAGAGATCTTATGAACAGGTGCTGTAATTTCAGGCTTAGTAATGAACAAACCAAACAACAAAAACTCTTCCAAGCCCTTGAGAGTTATGCCTTTGCCTGCTAACCTCAAGGCCAGCCGTTCGAACCCACCAGCCACTCTGAGGGAGAAAAAGAAGTCTTCTGTTCCCATCACGATTTACAGCCTGGGAACCTGCAGAGGGAGTTCTGCTCTGCGCATAGGCTCACCGCGCATAGAATTTGGTTGATGGCAATGCGTTTGGTTTGGGGGCTTCCCGGAGAGGGGTGGTAAATGGTTCAGTGCTCAGCTGCTAACTGGCAGGCTGGGAGCTCGAGCCCACCAAGCAGCTCTGTGTGAGAAAGACCCGGTGGTTTACTCTGCAAAGACCACACCCTCGGCGACTCTGCGTTGTTAGGTTGTAGAGTTGGTTCCAACTCCAGTGACCCTATGTGCGACAGGAAGGGAGCACTGCCGTCCTGCTCCGTCCTCCGTCCTTATGCCTGACCCCACTGCTGCCTCAGCAGAAAGGGAAGAGCTGTCCCCTTCCGAAGGGATTAGCCATTGAGAACCTTATGAAGGGCTGAAAACCCTCTGGGGGAAATCCTCGTCTCACACGGGGCTGCTTTGACCTCCATTGTGTGTGGCCTGACAACAACAAACCAACACCCCATTTCAGAAATGGGCTCAGAGTGTCAGCGACGTCCTCTGGGTTCACTTCCTTAACTTCTCATCCTTTATCGGACTCACCTGAGAGTGGTACCTGTTTCAGTCTTAGTGCCTCCCAATCTCCTACCAGAGCAGTTAGGATAGACTGCTTTCAGCTAGAGTTACTCTTAGTTGTCTATAGGTTGGTTTGAATGCTGACCTTGCAGTTAGCAGCCCAAACACTTACCCTCCTCCTCACCAGGCTCCTTAGGTCTGCCATAGGCACAGGTGATCCTATACAAAATCTTGTTGGCTCAGGAGAGGGGTAGTGGTTACGAATTGGTCTGTGATCTGTGTGGTCGCCAGTTCAAAAACCATCAGTAGCTCCATGGGAGAAAGACTGGGCTTTCTACTCCCGTAAACAGTTACAATCTTGGAAACCCACAGGGCGTCGCTTTGACTCGATGGCAGCGAGTTGAGAGTTTCCATCCTCGGCTATCGTTGGTCTCTTTGGCTGTTGCTGAAGGCACTGCTTGGGTCACGTATAAGTTGAGTCAAATAGAAGCTGAGTCCAACCTTTCCATTAGCAACGGAATACACTAAACTTTAGCCAGAAAATTAAATGTCCTTATACCTCCCAGCCACCCTATGAGCTTGATGTCATGACCCCATTTGCTGAGGCTCAAGAAAGGGAGGCCATTGATCCAATAAAGGACAGAGCTGAGTGAGAGTCCAAGTCTGGCTGACCCCGCAGCCAGCGCCCTTCTCAGTGGGCCAGGCACTAGGAAAGGAACACACTCACTGGGAGAAGACGCAGGGAACCCTCTCCATGCAGGCGGTATTAGAAACAGGCCTTGGGGGTGGGAAAGGTTCCATTCTAGGGGAGAGAAGAAAGCTACTCTAAGCAAGGAGGAAATGTGGATCAAGGCCTGAAAGAAAATGCAGAAGGGAGTGCAGGAGAAACTAGCCCCCAACACAGTGTAACCCGATGGGAGTGGAAGCAGGGACAAAATGATGGTTCTTACGATGCCAAAGAAAGGGAACAGAAGAGGAATGGATGCATTTGACCCGTGGTGTTTGCAACGGATATTGAATATACTGTGAACTGCCAGAAGAGCAAGCAAAGCAAAGTGGAAGATGTAACCAGGAAGAAGCAGCCAGAGGTTTCTTAGAAGTGGACTTTGGTCCATGTGCTTTGGACCATTATGTGCTTTGGCTCTGTGATGTCCATCAGGAAAGACCAAATGGTAGAGAAGGCTATCATGTTTGGTAAAGCCGAGGGTCAGTGAGAACGAAGGATCCTCAGGGAGACAGACTGACAGATTCACACGTGCCAGTGATTCTAAAGATGGCACAGGACCAGGCCACGCTTTGCTGGGTCATACATGGGGTTGGCATACACGAGGCAGAGCCAACTGAATAGCCACTAACAATAACAACAGGAAGGCAAGGGCGGCTGCTTTCTTAGACCAGACCTACTCCAGCAGGGGAACATGGAATTGACTGAGCCTGACCCAAACCATTCATAAAAAAGTGAAATGAAGCATATGCTTGGGTGAAGCAGCCTCGAAAGAAGGTGTGGGTGATTTTGTTCCAAAAAATGGAAAACCCTATAGATGATACCTCTACTCTGACCTGAGTCGGAACGGCCGCGACAGCAACTGGTCAAGCTTTTCCCATCACAGACCCTCAATGATTGGTCCTTTTCCTCTTCTGTCTTTGTTTTTGGAATAGAACATGGAGAGTTTCTTTCCCTGGATCTTGGAGGATCCAAGTTCCGAGTCTCCAAGGTTCAAGTCTCCGAAGAAGGGAAGCACAAGGTGCACATGGAGAGTCAGTTCTACCCAGTAACCGGTGAAATCACCCGAGGCAATGGCTCCCAGGTACCCAGGCAGGTGGCTCCTGGGAAGCAGGGACACCTGGGCATTACTGACGAGTACCCGTGCCTCATCCCGTGCCCTTTGCTGTCTCTCCTCTGCAGCTGTTCGAATACGTTGCTGACTGTCTGGCCGATTTCATGGAGGCTAAAGATTTGAAGCAGAAGGAATTGCCCCTTGGCTTCACCTTTTCATTTCCTTACTGGCAGACTAAACTAGATGAGGTAGGCTGGTGGAGGACTGGATGTGGGTGGGGTGGGGGCGATGTGCATGATTTGCGCTTTGGGTCTGGAGGCTGTGGGCTTATCTGGGAGGAGTTGGGGACAGAGGACCCAGGGTACCCACCAGGATTTCTTTCTTCCTTCCTTCCTTCCTTTTAATGAGGTGAAAATGTGAAGCAGATACTTTGTGGACCCAGGTACCTTGATATGATACTCAACCTGGGCACAACTCAAGGGAGCAGATAGCTTAGTGGTTCTCAGGCATGGGAATCCCCTCCAGGGCTGGTTTACGCAGAGGCACAGAGTTTTAAAAAGCAGTGGGTCTAGGGTGAGGCCCTAAGTTTGCATTTGAAGCAACTTCTAGGTGTTACGGATACTGCTAGCCTTGAGGTACTGCACCCTTAAAATCACATAGCCGATGAGGCGGAAAGCCAGAAAACTGGGGCATCTCACCCTTCCGGTAAATCCTCAGGAGGTGGATTGAGTTGGGAAGTCACTGGAGTGAAAATGTTATTGGATGCCTGGGATATACCCAGTCTCCGCTGGGCCTCAGCCATGTGTAGGTCTCAGGTAATTCATCTCTGTGAGTCTCAGCTTTCAATCTGTAGACAGGGTGGGGGCAAAGCAGATCTTACGTAACGTTGTGGACCTGAGGGAGACTGGAAAAAGACATAAGCTCTCTAGGCGCAGAGGGTGATGGTCTCCCCAGGACACTCCAGCCTGGAGTGGTGACTCTTGTTGTATCATCCACATGACAATCAAATCATGAATTTGAAACCCCCTTGCCGGAGGCCTCACTTTGTCCCCGAGATGAGGAGTGAGGGTGGGTGAGGAGAAGCCTATATATCACTAGTGTCCCATCAGGTGAGCTATGCAGGCAGACGTTAAAGATGTGAGGTGGGAATCAGAGACCTATGCCTTAGTTCTTCAATCACAGGAGACCTGGAGCTCTTGTCTTCCTCTCTCAATCTGATTTTCCTTGTTCTGAACAGAGGGGATGCTTGGATGAGCTGTGCTTGTGGAATTTGGGGCTTGGGCTCAGGCACTTTTGACTCCGTCTTGGGCAAATCTCTTAGCTTTCAAGTTTTCTTCCAGTCTAAAAAATTCTGTAATGATTTCCTATGTTAAACATGAAACTTTGGGAAACGCCATTGTAGGCAAATGATTGATAATGCACACTGAAGACCGTTTTCTTAAATTGAAATTAAGTTCCCAAGGTATTCCTATCAGGCAACACCATAGCAGTCCTGTTTTATGGACCAAGCAAACCATTCATTCTGCACACATACGATGTATCTAGCAGATGTTTTCATTCCTGTGAGATGGGCAGGGAGGTGACATTTCCATCTTATAGACGGATAAATGGATCCCCAGAGAGATGAAATGATTTGTTCAATGTTTCATGAGTCCAAGTGCGCTAACTCTGCAGTGACTGCTCCCTGAGCCATAGTGTGTCACCTGGTTAATCACTCAGCTAGGAGTGAATGCTATAGAAGGGTTTCACAATGGAATGAAAAGATAAGGGACTTCCTGCAGGAATTTTTTGAAGCTGCCTCATGTGTTTCAAAGGTCTCTGAAGAAAAAACTGAAAGTAACTGAGGTGACTCATGTAGAGAAGGCCAAAGGGAGGACTGTTTATGATATTTCTGCAGCTGATACCCAGGCAAGCCAGTGATGGCTCTATGGGGAAACCGGTGCAGGGAACCTGGTGGCTTGGTTACCAAGTGCTGCTCAGATGGAAATACCATAAATGGGTAGAGTTAACAAAGTGGGTAGGAAAGAGGGAACCGATTACAAGGAACTATATGTGACCTCCTCCCTGGGGGACGGACAACCGAAAAGTGGGTGAAGGGA